TTTGCATCCCTTTTCAATTTTGACAACTTCCAATTTTCCTAGATGCCATGTTCTGATTATTAATGGATGTGTACAGCTGTTTCTCCTCATTTTGTGTTGTGCTTTGCTCCATTCGTGTCATCACAGTCAACTTTACTTTAAGGAGGCATGTCTTCCCCAGTTATATTTTGAGTGGCTTCCAACCTGAGTGGCTCATCTATTTCTGACAATATTCTGGTGCTATTTATAATGCTTTAATTATATCTGACAATGTTCTGCTGCTCTTCATAAGGTTTTCAGTGGCTAAACATTCAGAAGTTGTCTACCTCTCCTTCTTCCTAGTCTGCTTTAGTCTGGAAGCGCTGCTGAAACCTGTCCACCATGGATGATCCTTCTGGCATTGAAAACACTGATGATATCACTTCCAGCAGCACAACTTGACAAGTTGACAGACAAATGGTGAAAATGTGAAATCTAAAAGCATAAAGTCTTAGAAGAGGGTTGCTAGGTAACCCTTTCAGTCCTAGATACTAACTATGAATTATCTAATATATATTAAGAGTCCTGGTGTTACACTGTAGAATAAGCATTTGATTGCTATCCACCAAAGGTGGTGGTTCAAACCCACCAGCCGCTCCTTGGAAATCCTTTTCAGGGTTGCCAAAAGTCAGAATTGACTGGATGGCACTTAACAACAACACCTGATACATAACAAAAACACAAACATCAAAAGACAAACTACGTGAACAAGACCTCATAAAATTACCAACTTTTCTTCATCCAAAGACTTTACCACAAAAGTTAAAAGACAAGCTACTGACTGACAGAATATCTTTGGAAATTTTGGAAACTCTGTATCTCATAAGAATCCAATAACAAAGATAACTGATAAATATAATTAATGTCAGTAAGTTGTACAACTGTAAAAAGTTGAACTGGCAAAAGTTGTCTGATGGATATGTTTACAACAATGACAAAAAAAAAAAGAAGAACTGCTTACTTATTTACAACCAAACACCTTCTGGGATTTGATTCCTTGGTTTAGAGGTTTTAGATTTATGGTTTCATGGGATATCCCAGGTAATGGACTTAATAATATATCCAGTGCTTTTGTTCTACCTCCTAGTTAATTAAGTAGTGCCTGAGGTCTTGAAAGCTTAGAAGCCATCATCTAAGGCACAATATAAGTCAGAACTGACTGGATGGAACTTTGTGACAATACCTGATATATAACGAAAGCACAAACAGCAAAAGATAAACTAAGTGAACAGGATCTCATAAAATTAACAACTTTTTTTCATCCAAAGACTTTACCAGAAAAGTCTATTAACCTGGAACAACAGAGGAAAGAGGAGATTCAGGAATAGGTAGAAGATATGAAACACATCAATAATGCCTCTATGAACAACTGTCTCCTTTTACCAGAACTGAATGGAAGAATCCAAATCAAAAGTGCAGAAAAGGCAGAAAAGAATTTGAAATTCTCATGGCTCTAGACTTACTAGAGTCATGAGACGCCCTGAAACTGCTGCCATTAGATAATCTTTAAACCCAAAGTCAAAAATATCCTTTGAAGTCATCTGAAAATCAAACAATATTTTAGCTTAACTGGTTAAAAAAAAAAGTCTGCTTTAGGCATTATGCCATTTTAAGAATATACTATCTATATGCCAACCCATATACTCCTGCTGCTACTGTGTGCCGTTGGTTCATTTTCAACTCATAGCTGTATAGGGTTTCTGAAGATGTCAATCTTTACAGGAACAAATAGCCTCATCTTTCTCCCATGGAGTGGCTGGTGGATTCGAACTGCTGACCTTGTAGTTAGCAGCCCTATGTGTAACCCACTACCCTACCAGGGCTCCTTGGAAAAATACTAGGGGGCTCCAAAAAGTTTGTGGGAAAATTCCATTATCTTTTAATTCCATTTGTCTACAAACTTTCTGAAGCTCCCTCATATGAACATTCCAGTAGCGGCAGCCCCTATACACACAAACACACACACACACATTTTAAAAACACTAGGTAAATTCTCAGTTGCTACAGCAGCTTCTCATCAAAACACTTATCCCCTCCCCAAACTGAGGTGATTTGAATTGTTTTCCCCCAAATATGTGCTAGAATCCACACTTCTGTAGCTGTGGATGCAGTACTCTTTGGAAATAGGGGTTTTGTTATGTTAATTAGATCATGACCAAGTAGGATGGATTCTAAATCTACTCATTTCTGAGTTATAAAGAAAGCCACTTAGACACAGAGATATGAACACCTGGGGGAAGACAGATGCCATGTGAGAGTTGCCAAGGAACCAAGGAATGCCAGGGATACCTACTAATAAGGAAGGAATGGACATGGCTAAGACCCTAATTGAGACTTTGAGCCTCCAAAATGATGAGATAATAAATTTCTGTTCCTTTCAATAAGACCAATATGAATGTGCAAAAGACAAAACCTACTACTAACAAGCCACAGCTGGGTGCAGGCAGGTGACACAAAACTACCACAGGCCTTCAGAGATGGCCATGGTGGGCTCTCAGGCTATGGCCCTAGTATCTCAGGGTGGTCAGAGACCCAAACCCAGCTGTAAAAGTCAAGACATATCTGTAAACCAAGGAACAGGTATCCAGGGTTGTTGATGTTGTAAAGTGCTTTCATGTTGGTTCCAACTCAGAGCGACCCTGTCTAAGGTTTCTGAGGCTTAAAAAAAAATGTTTGTGGGACCAGAAAGCCTCATCTTTGTCTTGTGGAGAAGTTAGTGGGCTTGAACTGCAAACCTTGCGGTTCACAGTCCAGTGCACTCCTGATGCCCAGTCTACTCCTTGAAAAATCACATCCAGCTGATGAGCTGGCTTCATAGGCCTATTTCTGTTTTGCTCCCCATCTGTCAGACCCCATGTGTAGGTACGGGAGAACTTTCAGAGAAATTCTGGAATATACCTTGACCATTATCTAGACTGGCTTCAGATGAGGAGAAATGTAAGTAAGTTAAAGCTTAGCCATCTGGAGTTTACTCTTTGGTACCTTGACTGTCCCAGGACAGCAAGGAGCCTCCATTGCATGCATCCCTATGGTCTGGAATTGGGACCCCCACCTTAGTGATGAGAGCATGCATGTAGCCATTTTGAGAACTTGACCATTCTGCTTTGTTGTTGTTGCTGTTGTTAGGTGCCATCAAGTCGGTATCGACTCATAGCAACTCTATGTACAACAGAAGGAAACACTGCCCAGTCCTGGGCCAACCTCACAATTGTTGCCACAATTGAGACCATTGATGCTGCCATTTTTCCAATCCATCTCTCTGGGGGTCTTTCTCTTTTTCTCTGACCCTACACCTGACCAAACATGATATCCTTCTCCAGGTTTCACAGGCATATGAGATTATTGAAAATACCACAGCTTGGGTCATGCGCACCTTAGTCCTGAAGCTGACATCTTTGCTCTTCAACACTTTAAAAAGGTCTTGTGCAGCAGATTCGCCTAATGCAATACGTCATTTGATTTCTTGACTGGTGTGTCCATGAGTGTTGATAGTTGATCCAAAAAGAATGAAGTCCTTGACAACACAAGGTGGTCATGATGTCCTGATAAACACATCAAGAGGAAGTGTATGATTAACTCTTCTGGTGCCTGTTCACTTTATCAAAAGGTACACAAATAGGGACCAGACTTCAAGCAGAACTAGGTGACCATTAACAATTCTAATGATGTTGTTAAAGCATATATCTAAGAAACAGGGATAAGAAGAGAGTGAGGTGTGATGCTTCAGGCAGTGCTTTGTAATATTTACTCTTAGCTAAAGCCTGACCCAAGCCATGGTATTGTCAATAACCTCATATGCATGCGATAGTTGGACAGTGAATAAGGAAGATCGTAGAAGAACTGATGCTTTTGAGTTATGGTGTTGGAGGAGAATATTGAGAAAGTACCATGGGCTGCCAAAAGAACCAACAGATCTGTGTTGGAAGAAGTGCAGCCAGAGTGCTCCTTGGAGGCCAAGATGGCCAAACTACGTCTCTCATACTTCAGACATATTGTCAGGAGGGACCAGTTGCTGGAGAAGGATATCATGTTTTGTAAGGTGGTGGGTCAGAGAAAAAGAGGAAGACCCCCAGAGAGGTGGATTGGCAAAGGAGCAGCATCAATGGGCTCAAGCATGGCAACTGTAGTGAGGTTGGCCCAGGACTGAGCAGTGTTTTGTTCTGCTGTGCATAAGGTCGCCATGAGTCAGCACCAACTCGATGGCACCTAACAACAACATTTGCTGCAGTTGTCCAATCTTCCTAATAATAAAGGCTTTTTTTCTTTGTTTATCTGGAATGTTTGTTAATTGGATTCAATCATAGGGCATTGGACCCAAGCTTTGGGATAACAATGAGGGAAAGGAGTTGAGGAAGGGGGTGGTCGCAGACCTACAGGTTCACTGAGGAGTCTGCAACCTCCCAGCCTTGGGACCTCCACACATCACCCAGCTTTTAGGTGAGTGTTTCTTCCACACCTGGGCTGATGCCCCAGTCTTCTGATCCCACAACACTGTTGTGAGGTTCTGAGTCAGACCAGTTGTTAAATGCCGTTGAGTTGGTTCTTGTATAGGGTTTCTGCGGAGCAGCTGATGGGTTTGAACTGCTGACTTTGTTGTTTGCAGTCCAGTGCTTATCCTACAGTGCTACACCAGAAGTCCAGAAATCACTCTAATTGTGAAGGCCTGGCAGGGAGGGGGATTGTGGAGATAGGTCACAGCCTCGGCTTCTGCTCTCAGGAGAAAAGAGAGGCATTTCTGTCCTGGAGACCCTGCCAAGAGGAAGTCCCCCCTAGACTGGGCAGGGTAGGAGGTACAGGCATCCCAGGGCCCACCACCCAGAGCAGGAAGTTGGCCCAGGCTGAGCAAACAACACATTTTCTCAGCAAGATGGGGTGAGGCTCCAGCCCCTGGAGGGGGCCAGCACAGGGTATATGAAGCCCAAAGACCAGACTTTCAGAAGCGTGTCTTTCAGCCTGAAAGTATCGTGGAGCCCCACTGTACCATGAAGCTTGCTGTCATGTTCCTGGGGCTCTGTGTGGCCCTGGTAAGCCACTCTGGTGAGTGCCTGGGGGTCCTGGCTATTGGAATGGGACATGGGAAGCCACTCTCCCTCAGTACCTCTGGCTCCAGCCTTCTTGATGGTCTCTGGCCCTCCATACTCATGGCCACCCTGCCCAGTGGGCTGGAAGGCCTCACTCAGGAGCCGAGGCTGGGCCAGATCCTTTTCTGTGTCCCCTGTACACAAGGCAGCCATCAGTGAGTAGGCAAAGCTGGGCAAGTTATGAAGGTTCCTTCAGGCACCTCCTGGAGGAGCTGGGTCCTGAGCAGGTTATTCTAGAGACCACCTGGGGACAGGTGGGTAATCTTTCCTTACTTGTGTTTTGCAGCTGCTGCTTCAATTATAAGCTCAATGCTCAAGCCTGTGGCCCAACCTGTAGCTTCTATCCCCGCTGCAGCGGAGGCTGTGGTCAACCCTCTTCTCAGACCCTTCAACCCACTAAAGTTCATGCTGGCCAGCATGGGGATCCCAGTGGATCACCTCATAGAGGGGTCCAAGAAGTGTGTGGCTGAGCTGGGACCTGAAGCTATGGTGGCCCTGAAGGCTCTGCTGGTAACCCGGGCTCCCTGGACAACCCTCTCTGGGTGGGCATCCCTCCCTTCATTCTCCTGAAGAATGGATGCACTTGAGCCCTCAAAATGGGACAAGAGGTGTCCCAGCCCTATTTTAGGGGGAATTTGCTCCCTGTCTGCCTCTGCCAAGCCCTGCATTGGATGTAATGGGACTGACCATGTCTGAACTATGGGGTGGCTATGATGGGTGAGGGGTAAAGAACAGGTTGCATTGTTCATGAGGAGGCTGCCAGTCAACCATACGTTTATGCTAGTCCCAGTGCCCACTCCCATCACCACAATGAACAGGCATCATGACCTGCCCAGGGACCCTCCCCAGGGCCACCCAAATTCTCCCAGTGGCAATGTGGGGGCCACATTCAAGCTTGGCTTCTCCTTTGCAGGGAGCTCTGACATTCTTTGGATGATCCAAGACTGGAGCAGCCCTGCCTGCGGACAAGTTGCTATCCACTTGCAAGGCTGGAAACCCCGTGGCTCAACCCTGGGCATTTACACCCTTCTCCTCCCTTTCTTAATAAACATGGTTGAAGAGCAGTTTTGGGGTTGACATTTTCTGTCTTGACTCGATGCCACTCCTTGCCTGCTGTAAGTAACATTGCTGAAGAAAGAGGGGCCTGGGCCTAGGGCAAGAGCTGGGATTTGGATGGCACCTAAACCACCTCAGGGGAGACACAGGTGGGGAAAGCCTGCCATGTAGGGGCCATGTGCACCATGCCCCAGATCACGTGGAGAGTGTGCATTAAGTGTGTTTATGTGTGTGCATGCGTATGTGAATGCTGACGTTGGAGGTGGCCTGGAGCCAGTGATGGGAGGATATGGGAATGACACAAGTATAATTTGGCTGGATTTGAAAACTAAATTGGGAACTTTTTTTTTTTCCCTGATACACTCTGTAATTGTTTATGAAGTATGAGATTTATGCGATGTTGGAAGATTGGTAAGACTTCCCCAAGCAAAGCCATTTGTTGCTAATATTTGAAAGTTTTTGCCTTTTTCCCTTGGCCTAGATTATTTCCTGGAATGTGGCAGGATTGAGGGCTATAGAAAACATACCAGGCTGTTCCTGGTAGTTTCATTTAAATAACTTAATTACTTTGATCTTTTCTGTTCAACCAAAAGGATTGCCATTTCTGGACCAATCTCCAGTGTTAGTGAAATGTGTCTATAGAACCCAGCCAGGATGTCCATTTTCTTTCTAGCAAATACTTCATTATTGATAAATTACAACTCAAGAACAAACACAATTCTGCTTTGGTTCCTGGGCAAGGCTTTTCCCTGTCTTGATTATCAATATACTATGAACAAACGATTCACTTTCATTTATTTTATGGTAAAATAAGGGTCTGACCTTTCTGTTCCTATTTTGACAAGCAAAGTAGAACAGGGAGGAAGCCACTTGGATCCAAATAAAATTCAAATCTCATTATCAACACATTGCCCCCCAAGATTCTCAAGTATTATGAATCGTTGTGAAAAACTCCAGATCTGGATTAAGGAAAAATGTATCTCTTATTTTTGTTCCCTGAAAGAACCTAGAAACTGACCAACCCAGAAGCAATGAGAATCCTAGCATCCAAATAATGGTCTCTTGATAACCATTTTCCATGAAAAAGAACCAGGGATCTTTATAGAAATGGCTGGTTCTTTGTCTGAAGCAGGAACTCATAACATTTTGCAATACCATGATGCAAGGAAGCTATCAAATACCATATAGCTGTACCAAAAAGGTACAGGAAACAATTTGGATAATGCTTACACTGACCAGAGATGGAGAAGTTTCAACATCAATAATAGTAATAGCTGAAGTGAACAAAGTCATCAAATATGTTCAAATCCAGAAATTATTGATACAAAGTAAAATAATCTTTTGATAACATTTAAAAGACATAGATAAACCAAGTTGTAATTTTGAAAATTAATAAAGGAAATAATCAAGAATGTATCCTGCCTTTTCTATAAAATAATCACTAAATGATGAGGGGAAATACCTTTTTTTTTTTTACAAAAGATGAATGAAAGAATGATAAAATTATATTGCTACAATCAAACTGCAATGAATTGGTTGTTGTTGCTGTAAGGTACTGTCCAGTCAGTACCGACTCAATGCAACTTTATGCAGAACAGAATGAAACACTGCCCACTCCTGTGCCAATGTTGCAATCGTTGCTATTCCTGAGCCCAATGCTGCTGCCACTGGGCCAATTCATCTTGTTGGGGATTTTCCTCTTTTTCACTGATTCTCCACTTTACCAAGCATGCTGTACTTCTCCAAGGACTGGTCCCTCCTGAAAATGTGTCTGAAGTATGAGAGACAAAATCTGGCCATCCTGGCTTCTAAGGAATATTCTGGCTGTGTTTTTTATAACACAGATTTGCTTGTTCTATTGGTGGTCCATCGTACTTTCCTCATGAGCACAATTAAGTGTCCCAGAACACTCATTCTCCACAATGTTATCCATAGCTTGCCATGAGCCACACAATCAAAAGTTGGTGTGGAGCTGTGGGTTAATGTACTGGGCTGCAAAGTTGGTTTGAATCACAAGGCTGGTGGTTCAAATTCACCAGTTACTCCTCAGAAACCCCATACAGGGTTGTTATGGGTCAGAACCAACTCAATGACGATTAATAACTACAACAAATGTCTTTCTGGTATTCTCTGCCTCCAACTGAGATACATCTGATGTCAGCAATGATATCCCTCATTCTACATCTTCATTTGAATCCAATTTAAACCTCTGGCAGTTCCCTGTCAATGTACTATTGCAGCCATTTTTAGATTATCTTTAGCAAAATTTTACTTGTGTGCAATATTAATGATATCCAATAATTTCCACATTCTGTTGAGTCACCTCTGTTTGAAATGGACACAAATATGGATCTTTCCCAAACAATTGGCCTGGTAGCTGTCTTCCAAATTTCTTGGTATACATGAGTGAGTGCCTCCAGTGCCACCTCACTTTGTTGAAAGATCACAATTTGTACTCCATCAATTCCCAGAGTCTTGTTCTTTGCCAATGTCTTCAGTACACCTTTGGCTTCTTCCTTCAGGATCATTGGCTCTTGATCATATGTTACCTCTTGAAAGGGTTGAACATCGACCATTTCTTTTTGTTATAGTAACGTTGCGTATTCCGTCCATCTTACTTTGATGCTTTGTGCATCATTCAATTTTGCCCATTGTTGTTGTTAAATGCCATTGAGTTGGTTCCAATTCATAGCAACCCTGTGCAGGTTTCTGAGGAGCAGCTGGGGAGCTTGAACTGCCAACCTTGCAGCTCAAACCAACATTGCAATAGCCCACAGGGCAATAATCTGCAGCACCACACCAGGACTCCATTTTTTGGTCATAGAATCCTTCAATATTTCAAGTTGAGGCTTGGATTTTTTATTCAGTTCCCTCCATTTGAGAAATGCTGAGCATGTTCTTTGCTTTTGGTTTTCGGACTCCAGATCTTTGCACATTTCATTATATTTGACTTCGTCTTCTCAAGCTGCCCTTTCAAATATTCTATTAAGCTTTTTTGCCTCCTTTCTTCCATTTGCTTCAGCATCTCTATAGTGGACAGCAATTTTCTCTTCTGACATCCATTTTGGTCTTTTCCTTCTTTCTTGTCTTCTTAATGACTTTTTGCTTTCTTCCTGTATGATGGTCCTGATGTCATCCCATAACTCTTCTGGTCTTCTGTCCTTAGTGTTTAATGCAGTAAATCTGTTCTTGAGATGATGTCTAAATTTAGGTGGGATATATTCAAGGTCATAGTTTGACTCATGTGTACTTAATTTTCTTCAGCTTCAGCCTGAACTTGCAAATGAACAGTTGATAGTCTTGTTCCAGTCTGCCCCTAGCTTTGTTTTAACTGATGGTATGGAACTTTTCCGTTGTCTGTTTTCACAGACATAGTCGATTTGATTTCTGTGTATTCCATCTGGTGGGGTCCATAGAGTCAGTTCTGACTAACAGTGACCCTGTATAGAGCTTCCAAGCAGTGGCTCGTGAGTTTGAACTGCCAACCTTGCAGTTCAATTCGACCTTGCGGTCCAGTGCATTATCCCACAATGTCACACCAAGACTCCATCTTTTATGTTGTTTAAAAAAGGAATTTACAATGAATATGTCATTGGTCTTGTAAAACTCTATTATGCAATCTTCAGCATCATTTCTGTCACCAAAAACTCCTCTTTGTTTCCAACCTTTGCATTTCAATTACCAGTAGTTGTTAATACATCTTGACTGTATTGTTTTTTTAAATCATTGTGAGACTGAAGGAATTGATAGAATAGATCTTCAATTTCACCATAACTAGTTTGAGAACTTGGTGAGTAAACTTGAATAATAGTTATATTAACTGGTCTTCCTTGTAGGTATATGGATATTACCCTACCACAGACAGTGCTGTACTTCAAGATGTATCTTGAAATGCTCTTTTTGATGATGAATGTGACACCATTCCTCTTCAATTTGTCATTCTTGGCATATTAAATCATGTGGTTTTCAGATTCAAAATGACCAATCATAGTAGTCCATTTCAGATCATTAATGCCTAGGGTATTGGTCTCTATGTGATACATTTCATTTTTGCTAACTTCCAATTTTCTAGATTCATAATTCATACGTTCCATATTCTGATTATTAATGGATGTTTACAGTCGTTACTCCTAATTTTGAGTTCTGCTCCATCAGCAAATGAAGGTTCCAAAAATTGTACTCCATTAGTGTTATCACGGTCAACTCTACTTTGAGGTAGCAGATTTCTCCATTCATGTTTTGAGTGCCTTTCAACCTGAGGGATTCATCTTCCAGCACTATATCTGACAATATTCTGGTGACTTTTATGTTTCTATATTCAATATTCTGGTGCTGACAGTGTTCCACCACTATTCATAAGGCTTTCAGTGACTAAATATTTGGAAATTGTCTGTCTCTCCCCCTTATTCCTAGTCTGTCTTAGTCTGGAATCTTATCTGAACCTGTCCACCATGGGAGACCTTGCTGGTATTTAAAATACCAGTGGCATAGCTTCCAGAATCACAGGAACACATAAGCCATCACAGTATGACAAACTGATACAAGAGTGGTAGAATCGATTGATAGATGTAGGGATATTGATCAATGACTACTAGTCCCACAAAAAAAAGTTATGGAGGCAGGTGGAGGGGGGGGGGACAGGGCTTGATAGCAGCTAGGGTAGAGGTGCAGTAAGGTTCTCCATCAGCAATACCAAAGGAGCTCTGGT